TAATACCCTTTTCTATTTTATTTTTCTCTTTTATTTTCAAAAATGAGGTGCGACAAATAGGAGGTAAATAGGTTGCAAAATTGGATAAGAGATTGCGCAATTTAACAGAATCAAGGTAGGGTAAAGAGATAAAAAAAAAGGTAGGGTAAAGAGAAGGTAAAGTTTGTGAGAGGGAGAAGAGTTGGAGGGATGTGGGAAGTTGGGTTAGGAAGGTAAGGACGAGAGTAACGAGGAATAGGGGAATATTGAGGGGGAGTAACGCAAAAAGAGAAAACATGGAAAGAAGGGGTAACAAAATTGTATTTGGTATACTTTTAGTATTTCTTTAGGTATTTTTATGATCTTTGCTCATATTTTTTTAATATACTTTAAGGTTTTAAATAAGATACATAAATACAATATAAATTAGATACTAAAATAGTGCTCTTTTAATTTTTTAACCTTTTTTTCATGTAACAAATAAAAATAATTTATTTATTATTATTATTATATTAAACGTAAATCCGTGCATAGCAGGTGTTACAATACTAGTTAAGTATTAACCCTTAGATTACAAATGACTTTGATTTGAAGGTCGAAACTTTATTGCCTTTCATTCTTCACAAAATGAGAAATGGGTGGCTGTTGGCCTAATATGGGATCAAAAGGATTTTGAGAATTGCTTTATATAAGTTCAACATACAGAGAGTTGCCTCTAACTTTTTTTTTTTTAGACAGAAAGATCTTTAAATTTGGCTGACTATGTTCATTGGACGGAATGTGGTGGATTTGTTTGGGAAAAATAATACTAAATTTCACTATTCGGCCTTGTCCCCAATTTTGATTAATTTCCACTCCCCTGGTTCTTGGGCACCATGTTCATTTACTTGTTGATTGAATGTTGATTCAAGAGTTTGTGTGGTTAATTTCTTGAAACCAAGAGAATGGTGCATAATAAACCAAAAAAATAGAATAATTTATATCTATACCTCACTGATGATTACTGTTCAAATACCTCCCCCTCAATATGAGTAATAAATAGACCTACTTCCCTAAGCCTCTAAGCCATGACACCAAATCCCAATCCCAGGCCATAAGCATCCAAATCCCAGGCCATAACACCCTCTTCTAAGTGGCTACTAGAATGGAAAAAAATCAGGCTGTAGGTTGGGGCTGGCTGGCTGCTCCTGTCAATGCTCCACTGCCAGATAGTGGATGTATACTATCTCTACATTGACTGCGGTGTACTATATCCATTAATACGTGCCTTCTGCCATCTCCAGGCTACCCGCAAACTCTCCTGAAGATCGGTATATTTTGTAGTCAGAAATAGCCAAAAACAATGTTAACCAAACTAATAAAATGTAGCTTGAGTCGTGCTTAATAACACTGTTCTAAAAAATTATTTCGTGAGGTTGAAATGTTTCTCCAGGATTAAACAAGCCTTTTTCTTGTTTATAACAAGAAGGATCAAAACTTCAGCAACCATCAATTAAATCCAGCAGAAAGGGAAAGAAGGAGAAGAAGAGAAGTAGAGCAAGAAAGCTGGCAGGAAGGTCTCTATTGTCACTGTCAGCTGTTGGTATATCTCTAAAGTGGAAGCACAGCTGCTATTTATAGGCAGCAGCTAGTGTCCGTTGGTGAGAAATAATATCTGATAACATAAAAAAGACATGGCTAATTTTCTATGAAACTGAAAGTAATGTTTAATTTATTCTGTGTAACCGAAAGTAACGTTAAAAGGAACGTTATGAAACATACCAAAACTTCGTAACTGATGAAATAAAAGTTTATCTTCTCAGGAAAGAGTCAAATTTTGATTTGTAAAATATGAAGTAAAATTTATTCTTGGTCACAGGAAAACTCACTTTGGCCGCGCTTAACCCACGCGCGAGAGGGAAATCCATCAGTTTGTACTGAAACGGCCCAACTCAACTTTCCTCTCATGCGCGCGAGCCCACACTAGTTACTAACTTAACACAAGCCAATAAGAGACTACGCATTATAAATGATGAGAAGTCCTTTTAGTTTTTTGATGTGGGACAAGATCTTTTGAAATTTCTCTTTTATTTACAACATATTTTGCTGTCCAGTTTAGTTCTTTCCTAAGTTTAGTTGGATCACTGTAAACTTCAGCATAATCACCAGGCCGACGGGGAAGGTTGTCGACCTTGAGAGGTACTCCTGTGGCCTTCTTGCAGGCCTCCACAAACTCCTTTACAGATCAACCTGAAATAGAAAAATATGATTCGCATAAGAAACGGCTAATATGGCCAACTAAGTTACAGGTTATAACAAGAAATGTCTTACCTCTCCCTATTCCAACTTTCCCAGGCTCTGCCTTCTCAAGGGCTTTGACATGAGCATCAACAAGATCAGTGACATCAATATAATCCCGGATACAAGTTCCATCTTCAGTCTTGTTGTCTGTTCCTCTCACATATAGCACGTAGTAATTTAACCAAAATGAACCCACGAAAAGACACAATAAGGGTACCAACGAGTCAAGTCATGTTCAAATACTAATATATTTGAGCTTGAGCTTGAAGATATTTAACCTAACTCAAACTTGAAGTTGACAAATGTTTATTTGGGAAAGGGTGCCAACATTGATGCTCTTATATAAGGGCCGTCTAGACTTTATATTAAAAAAAAAATATTACACTATCCCCACATTTGGTACATTTGGTACATAGTAATGGCCTAAAAAGGAAAGGGGTTTCTAATTTGTCCATTATATTCCAAGTTTGATATAGATCATTTAAGTGAAAAAGTTCTTTTCCTCTAAACTACTGTTTTTTTTAGTAGAATCCCCAAAATTCAAAAAATATCTTGGAAAAACTCTTTCCAACTTTATTACAAAATATCCAAAACAGTAGGATGTCAAATTTATTCTTATAAATCTTTTTTTCTACCTCATCATATCGTAGGATATTTGTGAGCTCAATTAGTAATTGAATGTATTTTTTATAATAAATTATTTTTCTTGTGTTAAAATAAAATTTTCTTTCTTACTAGCAAACATATGTTTTAAAATACTTTATTCTTTGACTTTGAATAATTGTGTGAAATTTTTTTTTTGAATTTCATATAAAAAATAAGAGCATTATAAAAAATTAAAATTTTATCATATTTGTTTTGATTCATGTAATTTACATTGCTAATTATATATCTTGCGGATGCAAAACTATAACATAAAAATCTATAGGCCACAATGAATCAAATATTACAATTGAAAAATTTGAGTACCAATCCTCAATTATTCTAAAAGCAAAAAATGACTAAATTTCACATAAATAAACCAGTAACATAGTAGAACAAATAAAGCAAAAGTAATAAAAATGGTATGTTCTATAAATAAATCCAGAATAATTAACTCAAGTTTGTATTAATTGTATTTTATTCTGGCATCTAAATCTTGATTATATCAAACACGGAAAAATGAAAGAACAATCTACTCTGTTAGTATACTAGACATTGAAATAAATAAAAACAATAATCTTCCTACCATTTTTAGATATCGTAACCAAAACCTATTTATTATATCAAACACCGGAATCAGAAGGTTCAATGGACAATCTAGGAATATTATTTTAAGACTTGACAGTCAACTTCATTGACTAACGTCAATGAACCAAGGTCAAGTATACATTCCTCTGTAAATAGGATTGACTTTTCCTTAACCTCGAGTGCAGCAACCCCGTTTTCGAAACTTTCCTAATATCTTTCCTAACCGTTTCTTTTGTGGATTCTCTCTTAGGAAAATCTGTCCCTATATATTACCTCTTTCTCGATTCAAGAATTTAACTTACCTAGCCCATTCGCCTCTTTTAACAGAAGACAAGAAAATATACAGAGTGATAGATAAATGGCTGACAACATTCCTATAGGGTTTCGTTTTAGACCCAGTGAGGAAGAACTGATCTCCCTACTTTGGCTGAAGGTTACAAACCAGCTTGATGAAACGGACCATGTGAAGGAGAAAATACTTTACGGCGAAGGTGCAGAACCGTGGGATGTTTTGGGGGATGATGATGTTCGTTGGCAATTCTGTGATAATAGCGGAAAAGGGGCTAGTACGAAAAGAATGGTCTATGTCTTTACCAAGTTGAGGAAATTGAGCGCCAAGAAAACTGCGAGAACGGCTGGTTTGGGGACGTGGGACGGAGAAACGAAGTCGTACCCAGTTGAGGGTATGATTACTGGTGAGAAAATTGGGTCAAGGAAGATGCTAAGTTATGTTCTGAATTCTGGTTCAATAGGGGTGAAAGGTGGCTGGATAATGCACGAGTATTCGCTGGATGGTGCATCATTGAATGGGTTAAACAGCAGTCATAATACTGATTATGTTCTTTGTAGGATAATAAAGGATGATTCAAAGTATACCAAAGTCAAAGAATCTGCAACGAAAGGAAAGGTTGCCAAAGAAAAGGAGGTTGGAAATCGTGGATGCCGTGAAGTTGTCCTGGGCAAGAGAAAGATGAATCTTGAATAAGAAAGTTCACAAGCGAGTAAGCAGTCATGTAACAATCCAATGGATGAGTTGCCTAATTTGGTTAATTGTGAGTATGATGGATACACAAGAAGCCTACAAACATATACAGGTTTGTTGGATGATGTTGTGCAGCCAATCATCTGTTGGAATGGCGACCCTTACTTGGGATCAGTTCCTGATATGGTGCACTGTTCCCTTAGAAATTAATTTTGTAGTGGCTTACATTCAAAAAGAAAAAAACTGTAGTTAAATATTTGATTTTGTAGTTTTGGATACTAAATTTATTAGTAGTGGGCTGCGTGTGTGTGATGATCACATAAAACAAGATGGGTGGATTTTCAAGAATAAAGCAACATGATCTTGTAGAATTTGATTTTATCGTTTTAGCAACTTACTATACCAGCAACAAGATGGATTCCATAAAAGGGTGAACAGTTGTATCGAAAAAGCTGAAGTGGAGTTTATGTGATTGTGATGCTTAGAAAATGCAAAAAGCAACGATTTTCAACTGTAGAAAGTACATAATCTTTTCAGCTTGAAAGGAACTAGCAATCCATCAGCAAAGTAAATGTTGCAAGTTATCTGGTACTCGCCTCTAACTCTAAAAGTCAATTGTCCAAAATAGTTGGTTTCACAGCAAAATCTGTCAAATCTGTAATGAAGCCAATGAAACAAGTGAATTTGATGCTATTTATTTCTGTCATTTTTCCTTTTTTTTTTTAAATTTCTTCCAAAGAATTACAATAATTAGAAATGCAATATTACCCTTTCTGCTTCTTCAAGGTTTTGAACATCATCTTCAACACAGCTGGAAGAATGTGAGGGGAGAAGCCAACTTTTAGTGGATAAAAGCACCTGCAACATCTTTGAACCCTTTCCACTAAATGAATCACGAATATAACCTGCTCTGCTAAATTTAGATTCCAGAGCAGCTCTGGAGACGGGAACAACTAACAGATCATGAGCCATATTTGAGAGAATGGGGAACCTATGATTATTGCCCTTCCACCAACCCAAAACATCAAAATAATCCCAATCTTGTTCAGTAGGTTCATCCAGATACCTCTCCAAATCTGATTTTCCATCAGCAAAAGCAGCAAGAGCTTCCTCCCTTCTCTTTTGAATCAGATACTTCTTAAAGTCACTGGGAAAAGATCTTGCACCTGATTCAGGTTCTTTCTCGCTAGAAGATGACTTTTCAGGTACATATAATCTTTTATATTCATCAAACAAGGTAAAAGCAGCCTCTCTCGCAATTTCTCCCATTTCTGGAGTCAAATGTAATTCTGAAGGTAAAGATTCAAGAATTTCCAGCTTGTATCGAGGATCAAGGATAAGGGCAAGGTAGATTACCAAATTCATCTCTTTATATTTTCCCCAATAGTCTGTATATTTTCCCCTCAATCTCCTAGCCATCGAACTGATGCCCATTTCAGTACTGTCTTGCCATTCACTCAAGAGATGATGAACCTCAAACAACCGAGCAAAGATTGTGTTTGTTGTGACATGTCTAGAGCATGAAAGATGCAATGTTAGCCCATACAAGTGCCTCAATATCTCGATAAACCACTTGACCTTTTGCCAATCATCTCTGTTAGGCATACCAGCACCCATAGTTTCACTTTTACAATAAGGATCTGATTCCTTTTGGTTAAATTACAACATGCCATGTGTGAAGCCAAAATCCATCTTTTAATTCTGCTTCTTAGATAATGTGCCGTATGCATACTGCTTCATTACATTAATTAATAATATCTTTGAACGGCATAATGTGGTAGATTATGAATTTTAACTTTCTTTTATATTAAAAATGTATAACTTAAATGCAAAACAAATAAGAACACAAAATAAATGATTATCCAAGAAATGAATGAATTTGTGTGAACAAATTACACCAAAAAAAAAAGTATTTGTGTGATCTAAGATACAAATAGTTAATTTCCAACTATGCATATAGATTTTTAAGTAGTTATCAGCTCAATAGTTAAACAACTCAAGTATATTGATAAATTCCAGTTCTTAGTTTATGGCACACACAAACATTAATGCCAGATTGCCACACCACTTTTATTTATACACCAAGGCTTTCCTAATAAACTAAAGTTAAATTCGATTTGTCAAAGGAAACAAAATAGAGTTGGTCACGGACAATCAACTCGATCCGGACTCCGACACAACTATTAACCGCCCAAACATTTAGAAACAATTAATTTAGCAACTAACAAATAATAAAATTCTCACTTAAAAAAATAAAAAGGCTTTTCTAACGGATGCCACGTGAGCACTCGTTAGCAAATCTATATACTAATTAACCTATCATGTATATACATACACTAACAATTATTACTTTTTCTTACATTTATACACTTTCCTTAATTAATCCATGCATTTTTATGTTTTCCGTAATTAGTTTTATATTTCTAAAATTCAACACCTGAAATACATCTTAACGGATGTCCAGGCAGGCCGAAAATAAAATACTTGATTTAGCTCCTGCATTGCCTTCATTCTGGAAACAGTTGATCCTCTATAATGTCAAGAAGATGAGAAAACTGAAAATTTTTGTTAATTAAAGGACTGTTGGTTGACTTTTACTTCTATTGCTATATAAAAGATGAGTAAATTTATGTTGACCACTGAGCAAGTATTTAGTCAATGAACCTCTTCATAGATATTTGGGAGGCAAGGATACCTTATTACCACCTTCTCCTATTGGGCTTAATCAATTAGTGCACATTATTGCTGGTTCTTGAAAAGTGCAATAAGCCCCAAACTTTTTTTCCCCTTCTCCAAAATTTAAAAAAAAAATTAGGCTTGAACCATTTATATTTGTTCAGTGCAATCTTAATTTCAGCATGTTTTTCAATGAATGCATTGTGGGATTAGTTTTTCATTCAATTAATAGTTCAAGGGAAAAAAAAGCAAGAATCATTTTTGTTTTGTTCTTTACCTATAACACTATTAGTGTTTAAAGTGAAAATTGTTTGAAGAAATTTTGTAGAATAACATTATATCACTTTTTATGATGTTACATTTGCGAGGAAAAAAAGATGATTAAAAAGATAAAGAGGTAATTCAAGAGGGTTATAATGTAACTAAATAATTGTTTCAATAGTGAGGTATCTCCTTTATCCTTTGAGAAATATCCACTTCGAGTTTAATCTGAGTAGGACATTTCTAGCCATAAATCGACTTTGATTTCGATAAATAGATCACTTTTTAAGATACCTTTATGTTAAATTTTTATTGCAGAAATCATCTGCAAACACTGGCAAGGGAAAAATATCTAAATATCAAGGGCAAACAAATAAGTTCATTAATTTAGTGCAGTTTATATTTTTGATGAAATTTGCAAATCATGAGTGCTAAATTATGAGTGCTCTATTTCTGTTTTAGGCTTCTAAACTTTCATTTTTAAGTGATATATTTATGTTCGTATCCATTCAAAATATTTGAAAGTATTTATTATGGAAAAAATGATTCAAAAAATTAGGGAAAAAGAATGCTAAGAGAAAGGCTAAGGCCGCAAACACTTCTCAAATTTAAACATACAAGCATACATGCATACATAACCACAAACACACATAAATTCGTATATATATTGTACTCATGCTCCGAAGTGTCTTATGGCTAGCAACGCATGAATTTTGTCATTCTAGACTAAGAGAATGGGCATTAATTGCAAGTTTCTTGTTAATGCTGGTTAGCATATTAAATTCTTAAGCCTAGCAACATATACATTTTGCCATATTGTGTTACCTAGTAAGTTTGGTTAAGACTGAATCCATGCTTGATAATTCAATTTAGCACTTAAAGTTAACGGATTCAAATCTTAATATGTTCAAATGCATTTGATAACCAAAAATTGAACATGTGAATTGATTAAGTGGCACTGAATTTTTTAGACAAAATTTGTTCCAAAAAATAAGCGATATGCTATTCATTTATTATTGAATATGATATACAGTCAAATATATTTGATTTAATACTTAACAATTCAATAATTTAATAGATTCATGATTCAGATTCATTTTCAGTTTTAGATTTCAATTTTAACAAACGCACCCTAAGTTTAAAAGATTTGAAGTATTAATTTGCAGTTGTTTGCTAAACAGCCTGATGTTAGTACACAAGATGTTGGATCCTTTTTTCATAATAAGTATCCATAATGAATTAACATTTCTCGCACATTATTTTAGTCATTAACTGTTGACTAAAGGCAAAGAGGTTGCAAGCTTCTTCATACATGCTTATCATTGCTACCTCTACATCTATTTCTTGCCAAGTTCATTGGCCTTATTGAATAGCCCTTTTTTTTTATCCAAGTTCATTACCCAAAAAAAAAAAGAAAAAAATGGGGACTGGAGCAGCCCTTTTGCCTTTGACAATTGAACTAGCAATGCTTAAATGTGATCCTAAGTTGATATTGCAGCTTTGCTGTCTCTCTAGTTCCTTGACAATTGAACTAGCAATCATTCAATTTAGCCCACCATCAATTTATTTTATTGACCCTTTTGTGTCGGTAAAATTGCTCAAATGGTTCCTAAAATGTTACATATTAGCAATCACAAAATGAGGTTAAGACAGTAACATTCAACATTCTTTGATGGTAGTTAGAATTTGACAATTGAAATGCATTGTTGGAGAAACATGAATCTGCAAGATACACAAAATTGTGATGATGAAGACCATGAACTAATTCAGATAAGCTAATTACTTCGGAACCTAACACTTCTTTTCTTGCTTCTAAACTAACTAACCAACCCATCACAATTCATTAAAATTGGTTTTTAATCTGCAGTGAATCTTAATTACTAGCTAAACAAAGCAAAGAATTACATCAAACGGGCATAAAACTAAGTTTGCTACTGTAACACTATCTACTACAAATTAAACTACTACTAAATCAGACCTCCTGATGATCAGATCATGACACATTTATACTCGCGAATTTATTATGATTCAGAAGAAACTACGCTAAATTTAAGTCATTAATGAATTGTTGTTGTTTTTTTTTTTTTTTTGAGCAAATAATGAGTAGCAGGAAGTATCATTAAGCACCTTACGAGTAAGGAGCCATTAAACTATGAGCAATGAGCTCAGTTTGCATTACATCCAAGACTCGTGCACTTTCCTGCCTGATTAAAATCATATCAAAATAGGCGCAACCAAAACATGGGTGCAGACGAGAAGACAAAAGAAAAGGAGATAAAAGAAACTTTACACAATGGAACACTCGTCTTCATTCCTCAGCTGCATTGCTAACCTTAATCTCCAGAAGCCGTTCAACTGGCTGCCTGCAAATTGGGCACCTATTTGTTTGGAACCTCAAAACTTTGGCACATCCGTTGCACATACACATGTGTCGACATGGAAGGACAGTAGTGTCTCGGGGTTCTGAAAGACATATTACACATTCTTTTCCTGGATCATTTCCATCGAAGTCACTGTCAACTGAATTGCCTATCCCAAATATTTCTTGCAATTCATAGCTCATGCCATTGACCCATAAGATTTGCTTCACCACCCTGACCTGATATTCACCTTTCTCTTTCTCAAACACCGCCTGGGTAATCTGAGAGTTTGTCGATCCAGGTTCTGGCTCTGTGTTTCCATCCGCTGATGTACTCTGATTATCTGCAAATGCCTCTGCCTTCACAGCTAGGGGATAAACATCCATCTCCCCCTCCTTCAACAAATCTGCTTCCTCAAACATTGAGAGGTCTAGGCCAGTTCCAGAGGGCTGTCTAAACTTCTGTGCGAAGCCCTTTTCGAAAGACACCGTTACTGGTGGAAGTAATCTATCCTTCATTGGAGTAAGAGTACAGTCTTCACCTTCTTTTGCAAAGAAAATTATGGTGATGCTCCCAGCAACCGTAGCATCAAACGTGAAAGCAACAAGATACTTGCCAGGATTGGCCTCGTCGGGCTCAATCCGCAAAGTTTCCTTCTTCAGATTAACATCGTTCCGAATGGTGACCGCCTTCTGATTCTCCACAAAGGGTGTGGGTGGTTGCATCATTGGCCCGCAAGGGTAACGGCCACTGACCCAATTGGCATGGGGCGGGTCCATGCGGTGGTGGTGATCGTATGGAGCCGGTAAAGGCACCGGCACAGCCGGTGGCGGTGCCGGATAGTAGCCAGTGTACTGGTAATAGGGAGGCGGAGCATTAGGGTTTGGGTATCGGGGAGTAATCTCAGGTTGAGGTGGCTGGGGGGGCGGCGGCGGTGGGTGGGTCCGCCGGCTGCCGCTTCTTCGCCGGTTGTTTACGCCTGTACTTCCAATATTACCCATACTATTTTCAAACTAATTGAAAAGAAATGATTTCTGTATAAATGAAAAAGAAAAGATTTCTGTGCGAATGAAAACTAATATACAATTAGGCCGCAGGCATCATGAAAATCGAATCCTTGACATGATCATAGAGAAGATTTTTGATACCGAAATTTCTTCCCAAAAAAAAAATTTTGGCTTAAGCGGAAGGATTCTGCAGGTCAAAAAATGGGGAAACGAAAGCTTCTGGGTTTTGCAGGGGGTTGAGGTGAATTGGGGGCTGGATGGGCAAGAAAGAAGTGTATCAGTATTGAAGGTATGT